ACCCTGAGAAATGCCTAATCTAATCACTAATTAATTATTCTTGAACTTGTAATGTGCGTTTGAATCTTGTCTCCATTTCAACCTTTACCATCTAATGTGCACTAATTCATGTGAGGCCCATAAGGGTAGATATTGAATTTCAATAAATTGGATTAGACAAATTGGATTTGGTCACCCCAAAATTGGGCTAAATGGGGAAGACAATTGTCCTCCCAACATAAGCATATACTTCGTACTTCATACTTCTTTCGATTTTTTAAGTTGATACGATGTGAATTTTGATATTAATTGTTATTTCACTTTGACTAGCCTTTATGATTTATAGTAATGATAAAATATAATTTTATTTGAATCATTTCAATGTAAATTTTATCACATTAACTTTTTTTTTTTTTTTTTTTTTGAAAGAAAGATAGAGCAATATCATTAAGCTGACAAATCCAACATGGCCAAAGTTACATAGCTTTGAGGGAAAGACCCAAAGCAAATAAACTCCGAGTTTCCCTCTGTATCTCTCCTCGCCACTAAATGAGCTAAAGCATTACAACATCTCTTAGCGTGGGAAAAAATGCAACAGTCAAACCAAGCTCTATCTAATAGAATATCATCATAAACTCTAAACATAGGAGCCAAACCGGCTATACCGTGAGACGATAATACCTTGACAACATTCAAGGCATCAGTTTCGACCCACAGACTAGAGAAACCAAATCTCCTCGCCAACCTCAAAGCAAACTGTACTGCTTGCGCCTCCAGGCACTCCGGATTGGAAGGAAAGACACATTTTGTTGCAGTCATGACAATGTTCCCTTCTGCATTCTGAAAGACAGCACCCAAACCTGCCTTACCACCAGTCGAAATATGGGCATCCACATTGGCCTTAATCGTCCCATAAGGAGGGCAAGACCAACTACTGGCACTTCCTGCTGCAATTCTGTGAGGTGGGCAGCAGACCTTGGCCGAGTATATCATGTGTTCAGCAACCCAATTACAATAATTAGCAGCCAACATTACCGCATTGGGCTGGGCATTTTCAAATATGTGCAGATTTTTGCATCTCCAACATGCCCATATAAGAGCAGCGATTTTCAGCAGTTCACTCTTGCTAACCTTATCACGCAACCACCTCCAACGAGCAAGGAAAGAGTCAGTTGGAACTTCAGCAAGCAGGTCAACAAGATCACTGTATCTCCAAATCTCCTTTGCATACTTACAGTCAAAGAAAGCATGCATTATAGTTTCAACATCACCTCCACATATTTGACATGCTGAATCATAAATAATATGCCTTTGAACAAGACGATCATCCACAGCCATATTACCCCTGATAGCGTTCCATAAGAAGAGCTGTAGCTTAGGAGGGGCTGCCATCCGCCACACTGATCTCCAGTCATCTGAGGACAACACCATGCTAGCACCGCCCTTAGCTGCTCTTGCCAACCAATACCCAGCCTTCACAGAATATATCCCTGATCTTGTTCCAGTCCAAAAGAAGCCGTCCTTAGAAGAATATTGGGATAAAGGAACAGCCAAGACCGAAGGTGCCACATTACCCAGCAATTCAGAAATTTTTCCCACATTCCATCGCTGCTCCCCTTCGCACATAAGATCGGATACGGTCATCTCAGCATCAACACCAGTAGGTCTCTGAAGAATTACATGCCTGTCATTATCGAACACCCACCTATCCATCCACACCTTCGTATCCTTGCCATCACCAATACTACGGCCCAGCCCCTCCTTTAACAGACCCAACACACTCCACAGGCTACTCCAAAGGTAACTCGGGTCATACCCATGCTTAGCCTCAATGAGGCTAGTCCGCCTAAAGTAGCGAGCTTTCATCAATTTAAAACACAAAGTGTGAGGGTTCGTAAGGAAGCGCCATAACTGCTTCATCAATAGTGCCTGATTGAAACAATGTAGGTCACGGAAACTAAGACCACCCATTGCCTTCGGAGCGCAGAGTTTGTCCCAATTTTGCCAATGGATTTTACGATGGCCCGTATGAGAACCCCACCAAAATCGCCCCAATAATTTATGAACATCATCAACCACATTGTCCGGGATTTTAAAAAGGCTCATCATGTAAGTCGAGATTGCTTGGGCGACAGCCTTGTACTTCTTTACCAGGCTTGGACAAAAGTTTCTCCTTCCACCCATTGAGTTTTTCCAAAGTCTCTCCTTCATACCAGAAAAAATAATTCTTTTCGATTTGCCAACGACCGTCGGGAGGCCAAGATATTTTTCATGTTTAACAACTTCCCGCACACCCAATAAATTCACAATTGAGTCTCTAGTATCCGCAGACATATTTTTACTAAATACTACTTCTGTTTTATCTTGATTTACCTTCTGACCCGATGCACATTCGTATGTACTGATTATTTCAGCAATTTTAGAGCATTCCTGAGAAGTAGCTTTAGCAAACAAGATACAGTCGTCAGCAAAAAACAGGTGAGAGACCCTAGGCGCCGCCCGACAGATTTTAATACCATTGATATCCCTGTTTCCTGCAGCCGCAGAAAGTAAAGAGGAAAATGCATCGGCACACAATAAGAACAAATAAGGAGAAATAGGGTCGCCTTGCCTGAGACCTCTAGTGGGAGTGACGGAGCCAAATATCTCATTATTTGCTTTAAAAGAAAAGGTTACCGTCGATATACAGTCCACCACCTTCCTTACCCATAAATCAGAGAAGCCAAATTTACGCATTACAGCTTCTAAAAAACCCCACTCGACTCTATCATAGGCCTTACTCATATCCAGCTTCAAAGCAATTGACCCATCACCAACCCCTCATCCCCGCTTCATAAAATGGAAAATTTCAAAAGCCACCATTGCATTATCAGTGATAAGTCTACCCGGAATGAACGCACTTTGATTAACAGAGACAATGTCATCAAGAAAAAATTTAAGCCTATTAGCCATCACTTTAGAGATTATTTTATACAGCACATTGCAACAACTAATAGGCCTAAAGTCCTTCATGTTCTTCGGGTCGCTACATTTCGGTATGAGAACAACACATGTCTTATTAATCTCAGATAAATCAATCATATCCAACCACCAATTTTTCACCATGTTCACAATGTCAGACCCGATAATATGCCAAAATTTTTGGAAAAACATAGCGTGCATACCATCCATACCTGGGGCTTTATTGGGGTGCATTTGAAAGAGAGTCGTTTTTACTTCGTCTGTGGTAGGAATTTTTTCAAGAGCCTCATTCATGCCTTGCGTGACTCTGGAAGAGATACCCGCCAAAGCAGCATCGAAAGAAGTGGGGCTACAAGTAGCAAACAGCTCATTAAAGTAGTCAGCAATTATGTTTTGAATGTGACCTTCCTCCGTATGCCAATTCCCATTCGAGTCATAAATGCCACCAATGTGATTCCTCCAGTTACGGGTGCTTGCTTTTCTGTGAAAATATGCAGTATTTTTGTCCCCATCTCTCATCTCATTCGACCGGGCCCTAGCATGCCAGTAAGACTCTTCCAATCTATGTAATTCATTAATCTCAGATGACAGCGATTCACATTTCTGAAGCATACTCGCATCCAACTGCCCACTCTGCGCCTCAACCAACTGATTTTCAAGGCTCCGTAATTTCTTACGAGTATTCCCAAAAGTAGACGATGCCCACTTCCCTAAACGATCTGCACATAGGGAAATTCTCTCGTGTATAGGTCTCCTTGCACCCTCATTCCAAGCGCTACCCACAACCTCTCCACAATCCTCCCTAGACAACCATAGAGCCACAAACCTATAAAGACGCCTCCTCCTCCTATTTTCCTGATAGAAGTTCGAACTAAGCGTAATGGGAGAATGATCCGATGATAATCTAGCTAGGTGAGAAACACCAAAATGAGGGAACATGTTGCACCAATGATCCGACCCCACAAAACGGTCAAGTCTTTCCCGGATTGTCGTATCAATAGACTTTCCACGTTGCCATGTGAATTTGCACCCATTGTAACCTAAGTCACGTAATCCACAATCATCCAAGGCTGCCTGAAACTCTTCCATGCACCTTTCACGCCTCACCATTCCTCCTTCCTTCTCCGATTCATGCATTATTTCGTTAAAGTCCCCAAACACCAAACACAGCAGAGTACATTGGCGCACTAAACTTCTCATGAGATCCCATGTTCTATGTTTGTTCTCGGCTTCCGGCCATCCATACACACCAATAACCCTCCATTTCGGCACCCCCCCCCTCTCATCATAAATATCAGTCGCACAATGATGGTCTGAAAACGAAATCACCGATACCTCCAAGTCCTTCCACCACAGGCATAATCCCCCCGCTCTACCATTACTACTCCTACAAAACCCATTATTAAAACCACATTTTTTTTAATTTTCTCCATCATACTAGCCTCTACTTTAGTCTCCATAAGAAAAACCAAATTTGGGCGTTCCCTCCAACATAAATCCCGGAGGGCTCGCTCTGTCCTCGGGTTGCCCATCCCGAAGACATTCCAGCTTAGAGTTTTCATGGCTCTTCGAGGGGTTGGATATGCCCAACGCCCTCTACTTGGATTAAGCTGTCCCCAGCACATTCATTCACAGTCACCCTTCGCTTCCTTTCGCAATCCTCCTCCAGTATACTATCCCCCTCCCCACTAGATAACAGAAAATCTCTCTTCCTCTTGCCCTCCCCCACGTCCGTATGTATAGGCAGCAGCTTGCCTACCCCATACCCCTTCTCCATCCTCTCAACTCTTCTCCACAGTCTCCTATTGTTATTCTTTGACCCCCCACTCGCCCTCACCTCTACTCCCACCTTACTCCCCCCTCCTTCAGATTCCCCCAGTCTACTCACATCTATTTCATCCCCCCTGCCCACCTAAATGCAAGCCTCGGGACTAGGATTTCCAGCCCATATACTTTCTTCACCCCTTTCTACTCTCCCACTCCCCTTATCCGCCATCCTCTCCTTTTCCACTATGTCCCCTTTCTCCAAACTACACCCCTCACTATCACTCCCACCATTTCTACCATTTTGGACAACCATCAGATTTAGGTTGAACGACACTGTGCTTAGCAGCAAAATATACCTCCTTCCCATGCGTACTGCTTGAAAGATTTTTCCCATACAAGTTTACTGGTTTGTGGGTAAACTTGATAGCACGGGCAGCACGTAACCTCTCCATTTCTTCCTTTTTCTGGGTATTTCCCTTACTTGGAGACGCCTTCAACCATAGTCCCCATTGTTTCTCCCCACCCCCATCCTCCTTCTCATCCTTATGGCAATCCCTCTCCGTATGCCCCAGTAAACCACAAGTGAAGCAGAAAGTCGCCAACCGTTCGTATTTTATTTGAACAGTAGTAATAGCTCCCTTCTTATTGCGAATTCGCTGAATCCTGCGCAAGGGCAAAGTAGTATCCAGCAATACCTTTAATCGTCTTGACTTCTCCCATCCCAGAATGTCTTCTTCAACCTCCAACACCTCCCCAATCATTCCCCCAATTCTACGCACGTCATTATCAGTCCTGCTATCCAAGGGTAAGTTATACAACCTAATCCAGTAAGGGCAATGTTTTATATCAATCAAGTCAGGTTGTTCATTTCCCTGTACCTCCTTCAAAAGCAATATGTTATTGTCAAAAGTCCAAGGAGCACCATCAATCACCTTCTCCTTATCTCGCCAATGGAAGAATTGTATCATAAAGAAGTTGTTCTCAATCTTACGAAACACAACATCACGCGATAAGGACCATACTTGTTTCAATGTTCGTTGCATAGCTTCGAAATTATATGAACGAATTGTTAAAATTTTACCTACCAAAGAAAGCCCGATATTTTCAGGCGGTGCAACGTCCTCTTGCCCTCCAAGATCAGCAACTACCCCTTCCTCCTCCATGATTTTCAGTCGTGCCCATCTGTCCGTGATATCCTCAGCCATTCCACCGTCCTCCGATCACCAACACACTGCCAGAAACGAATCCCTCTGAACAAGGGACCAAACTTGACCCGCAAGACACTACTCGACTATTAGGGAGAAAAAACCCTAAGCAGATGCGAGACTCTTTGTTTATCACATTAACTTTTATAATTTGTACGTGGTGAGGATAATTCTTTGATAGAAAAAGGGTGTCCATCAAATTGTAATAGCCATGTACTTTAAAGGTGTACGTTAGCAAATGTAATAAAATTAAAGTATTCTTTCTCTCCCTATGAACCTTTTCGTACCGTGATTCTATATTTCTTTGTTGGTCTACGTATAAGTTGAGTGTTTGAGCTTAATCTTAGAGCATTCTTAACCATGAATAATTAAAATTATTTTAATAAAATAATATTTAAAAAATGAGGGATTGATGAACAGTTCCATGAACAATTGTGAACGGTTTGGTTTCTCAAATCGTTTGTGAATTTTATTCGTCTGACATGAAAGACTTTGCTGACAAAAACATTAGATGATTATTACATTGTAAATTATGTATGTATTTTAATTTTTAGTAAAAAATAAATTGAGGTAAGGTAGGTGAATAGTAACATGAACAATTTTTTTTTTTTTTGTTCACCGTTAAGAAGAGGAAGTTGGAAATTATTTATTTGGTTTGATGTATATGAGAGAGAAATTTTTTTTTTTTTTTCCTTTTTCTAAAGTAACATGAACAATTTTTTTTTGGTTCATGAATAAGGATGCTCTTACCAAGTATGTTAATGAAAAAATATATCATGTATGTTTATATTTCTCTTGCTTTTAAAAATTGGTTATGTTTTCATCCCATTTATTTATTTTTTAATTAGTGGACAATTATCTATATATGTCGGTGCTTGTAAAAAATAAAATAAAAAAAAAGGTCTATATATGTCGGTGTTTTTAGCCTCACTTAACTTTGTCGGTTTTAGTTTGATATAAGTCAAGTTCCTCACTAAAGTACAATTACATAGGTCCAACCTTAATTTGGAATTTAAAATACATTTCTAAAATACAATAATGTTTTATGGGCCTTCTCTCCTCTCTCTTCTATGGTTTCAATTTTCTTGCGTGTTTAGACCGAAAATAGTCTAATTTCTTCGGAAAAGACTATTTCCGACCTTTTTATTTAATTTAATTTAGTTTTTTTGCTTTGATTTACGTTTTTGTTTGTTTTGATTTGTTTTGTTCTCTTCATTTATGAGAGTCTGTCCCAGGATTTTGATTCTCATCCATGGATGGGAATTTTATTTTTAGGGTTCTTATAATAATTGAGAAGATAATTTGGATTCCTATGGGTGTAGGGTTTGTCATCAACTTTTCAATCAAAACATCAGCGCGGATTGCGAAGGACTTTACTTGGAAAGATGCAAAGGCATCGAAAATCATTGCTCGCGTCAAGCTTGAAGCGGTAGGATATGAGCTATGCCAAATATGCAAATTAGTTATGAATTTGATTGTAAAAGTTATAGTACTTTCTCTAAATCCACTTGTTCACAGATCTTTATTATTGTAAATGCCTATTATTTAATGATATTATTACTTCCCGTTCAAAAAAAATAATGATTTATGGACTCTTTCGTTATTACAACTCTAGTACGCAGTATTAAATTTAGATTGAATCAGACAAATTTAGACATATCAAGTCGTATTAGGTAGATTAACAACAATGTACAAATACGGAGTAGTATTTTTGGAACAATATTTTCACATGAATTGTTTACAATAGTTTTTTCGTTTTCTATTTTCTAATAGGAGCTGCCAACTTCATTTTTATTTTTTTGGGAGTTAGTAAAGTTTCATTTAAAGATGCTTTACAACTAAGTTTTAGTAGCTTCATTAAAAGATACTTTACAACTAATTTCCGTTAAATATGGGTTAGGGTAATTAAAGCGCCCAAATATTTGGAAAGAGTTAATCAACAATTTGAGTATAGTACTGTAGTTCCGACCCGGAAGAAACGGGTTCCAGTGGGTCCGGAGCCTTGAAGGGTGAGCATGTGAGACCAGGTATGTTCCCATTTATTGCGTCAAAAGATGCGTTTCATGTATTTTTTTTGTTGGACTTAGCCCACTAAACTACCAGCTCCTAGCGCACGGCTATACCACCGCTTAGGGCTTATGGCCAAGGGGACAAGTATGTAAATTTTCTCAAAAAATAAATATATATATATATATATATATATATATATATATATATATATATATATATATATATATATATATATAAAACTAATTAAAAAAAAAAGTGGCATGTGTTAACCATATTGTTTCATATTTTGTCAATACAATAATAGCAATAGCTAGACCCGAAAACAGTTCATTCGAGTCAAGTACAAATTGTGTCATTTTGGATTAGCTAACATTTGGTCAAGTACGGTTCGGGACTGATCAATTCAGGCATCGAGTTCCGCCATTTTCAGGTCGGGTTAATTTCAGATCGAGTATGTTCATGTTGGATTAAAATTAGGTCGGCTCATGTTCGGGTCATTATTTTGTGTCAATATTGTGGATCAAGCTCAAATCAATTTTATTTGGTTTGTGAGTTCGATTACAATTGGGGATGAAACAGTTTGAGTCATTTATGGCACGAGGCATTTTTAGTTCAGGTATTATATAATTTTGGTTCGAGACAAGCGAGTATCGCGTTTGTTCGTGTCAAACAATTCGGTTTAAAATCAGATCGGGTCAACTTCAGGTTGGGTCATTTCGGGTATCGAGACAACTTCGAGTGGGGTACAATTGAGTTGGGTCATTTTCGATATCGGGTCAAGGTCAAGTCAACTCCACTTTAGGGTCGGAAAGATTTTGAGTTTCGGGTCATTGTTATCGAGTCACGGGTCGGGTCAGGATTGCCAGATCTAGTAATAGCTGACCACAAGTCAGGTCGGGCAATGGCAAGAAAACTTGTCTTATTTTGAGCCAGAGTCAAGCCCAAATGAAACCTTGTTACTAAATCCTTTATTTTGGGCTAATAATAGCGGGTGTTTTGAACCATTTTTTAATCTAGTCAAAATTATAGGCTATTTAAAACCCCAAAAAATTATGAAATTGGACCGAAAACCCAGGCCAGACTTCTCGGTTAAAAATCCTCCCAAACCTTGCCATTTTTCCGGCCAACGAGGCAGGTTAACCTTAGCTTGACCAGCTCTTCGTAATACGAAGTAGTAATAATGTTCCCCATAAAATCTTTTGAGGTACAAATGCAAATAAAGCTGAGTCAAGCTAAACCCTACCCAATTTATGTTTATGTTCATTTAACTCAAGCGAGTGATATACAAGTATGAGATTTCAGCTGAGATTGTTTTGTCCATTCAAAAAAAAATAAAAAAATAAAAAAAACTGTTTTGTTTAGAAGATTATAAAGTTCGTGAACAACTTGTCTATTAGATGAGTTGAGCTCAAAGATGAGAATGAGCGAGCTTTGCATATTTTGAATTCTAAGATCTCAAAATCAAGTATCAAACTATCAATACAATAACTCTTCAAATCTTTCATTTATTTTTACGCTAACTTAAATTAATATCCATGAATGATGTATGAGCTTGTTTTTGTATGTGTTCAATCTCTAATCTATCTCCTTAAAATTTGTTTTATATATTTATTCACCTGATTTTTATTAATTTGAACTTGTTACGATTCTATCATAAATTATTAAACATTATTTTAGTTGTAATTTGAACTGGATACCCTTATCAAATTTTCCTTAAAATTTAAAACTTAATATTTCTAAAATAAGTGAAAATAAGATAAACAAGCATAAAAACCAATGTATATCTAGATCCAAACCACCGCAATCCCTATTCAAGTATTCATAGCCCATAGATTTTATTCCCTCAACAAAATTCACTTACAAAATATTTTACCTTACTCAACTCACCATCCTATCATTTTTAATCTAATATCATATCATATATATCATATCATATCACTAATAAATGAAGTTGGTCTCGCAGCCAGGCCATGAGACAGCGACACTAACATTCCATTTTTTAGCCAAGTGTCGCGCCATATAGGCGACAAATATGTATTATTGTGACACATATGTTGCTAAGTAGGCGATTCTTGGATATATTTTTTTAAGATAAAAAAAATTGTATAGAGTTTTATTATCACTATACTCTAATATTTCACATATACAAAATTAATTATAACTTTTAATAAATATCGTATAACTCAGTTTTATTTCCACCATAAAATTCCTTTTAAAAGGTTCCTTAAAACAAGATCCATTTGTAATATATTTAATTTAGTAAAAAAAAAAATAGAGAATCAGTAAAAATAAGTTTTAATCAATAAAAACAATTTCGATTTGGTAAAAATACTTTCGGTTTAGTAAAAATAATTTAAAATCAATAACAGTAATTTCAAGTCAATAATAAATTAATAACATAGGTATCTATTTACAAACAAACTACAAAAAGTACACTATTATATGATATTGTATGTCTAAATATCTTGTATTATTAAAAAGGATTATATGCCCATATCATATCATATCATATCACATCACATCACATCACATTACTAATAAAGCCAGTCTCGCAGCCAGGCCACGAGACAACGGCTCTTGCCATTCCAGTTTTTCGTCAAGTGTCGAGCCACGTAAGCGACAAATAGATATTATTGTGATTAGATTAGATGCCACTTTATATTAAATTGGATAGATTTGTTTAGGATAAAAAAAGTATGCATAAAATAATTTATAATTCTTTTGAAAAAAAAATTATCTTTTTATTGACAATAAAATTTTATTTATAGCAACACACCACATATTATAATTAATATGAATATTTAATTAACAATAGAATTTTAGTCCTATAGGAATAACCACGTAATTATAATTGTAAATATGGCAATGTATAATTTTTTTTTAGTCTACCATTGATTTACCATTAAAAGCTTTTGAATAAGGTATTTTTCATATTCGGTTATAATATTTTTGAGTATGTTTTTTATTTTGTTATTGAAATTAAAGAAGTC